TCAAGCTTAGCCTAGCAACAAATGCAGAATCGAATTTTGGTGCCGGGATTCAGCAGCCGACCTACGAATCAAGAATCAATTATAGAAAACCAACCAAGTCAAACTATTAACCAGGGAAATCCTTTTCCTCCTTTGTTTTCTTAATAAATTAATCGTGACAAAGTTCTACTAGTTCTTTACCTCTACGGCTCAATTTTGTGAATCAATTCATGGTGAATCAAGAATCCGTTGGGGTAAATCAGTTTGTGGTATGCAGGCAAATTATGGAGAATCTGGCAACTTTGGTCCGCTGGAGAATTTTTCCTTTTTATTTAATTTTTTTCTGCAACTTTTTGAGTTCTCTTTCTCCTGTATGTTATTTTCTTCTTTATTTTTGCTTCCATTCCTCCCACTTTTGGTGCACATAGCCATTAAAATTCTTGCAATATAATTATGATGTCTAGTTCTTTTCTTTCCTACTCCGGTTTTGATATTAAACAAGTCATTTCTTTAGGAACCCAGTATTATATTTCCTCCACTTCCTACTCAAAAAGTCACTACTGGTTTTGGTGATTCTGCAATTTTTAATTGGTGTGCTACAATGTCAAATTTGGGCTATCATGGTGAGCACCACAATATTCAGAGCCAGAAATTTTAGTGGTATCTAAAATGGGACTGTAAATCAACATCTGACCCTGATCCCCCCCTTAATTGCAATTTCTAGGTCCTCACCCTAATTAGCTTTGATTATCTAAGCCTTGCTCCAACTTCCTTTGGTTGAGAATTTAACACCCTTTTGAAAAATAAAAGTAGAATAAAACCATGAAAATGTGCATAAACAGAGAAGCCAAGATTTTAATGTGGTTGGACAATGGTTTTTTATGTTCAGGGATGAACTTCTAGTGAAGATTCATTTTATCTCAACTGGAATTAGGACCCTAACTTCTTCTAGTTTATGAAGAATAGAGCTTTTTTTCTCTCATAAACTTCAATTCAATATAAAGGGGATTGGATTCAAGGACATTGCAATGATAATTTGTTGTCTCAACATCAGATACTGAGTGTAGGTGTCACCCTTGGAACTTGGAAGGAATTTACCTGTAGGCTTCATTAGGCTCATGTTGATTTCAACTAGGAAAGAAGAATGTTTCATTAGTAGATTCATTTCCCATGGAATCCAAATGTTGTCAACTGTCATCAGCTTCACAGAGACACCATTACTTAATTATGAATCAAGAACCGCAGCATTCAGTTAATGTCAACTGCTGCATCACTAGAAAACCACATAGATTTCCATCGACCTTCTGCCTCAATTTCTCAGAATTGCAATGACTGCTCTCAATCTTATTCTGAATTCGGCTGAAACACGAAATTCAAAGGCAATTCACTGCATTTGGATTGAATTCCCACCTTGCTTCAATGGAATAGAAGTGACTACTCACCCCACCATTTCGAACTCTAATAAAAAATCACAATTCAAAGGCTAAAATTTGCCCCTTTTTTTCTGAATTCCTCTCTTCCATGAGATGGACCATACCAAAATGAGGAATCCAGAGATAAACGTAGTGACATTCCAATTCCACCCTGATCCAAGTGCAGCCAATAAATAAATAAATAAAACTGAGGATGATATCTTCTAGTCGGTGGGAACTTGATAGGCATTATTAGCACCCATCAACGACATAAAGCAGGCCAGCTTTCATTCTTGGCGGGTTAACACATCAATCTAGCGAGCGTGTGAATATTCAATTCTCACTTCTGATCCTACGGCCAATACATAAAGAAACAAACAAATTTCTCACTTGTGAAAAGAAGCCAATTTTCACATTTGGAGTACAAGTCTTGAGTTCAATTGTGCACGAAAATGAATGTAAACCACTTACTTAAATGGCTATTGTTCTCCTCTTCAATACAAAAAATAATTAAGAAAAAACAAGCCCCTATTAAAACCAGTCACCATTATACATGAGGCATTACTCTCTAACTCAAAACTACCAACCTTTTGAGGCAGGACCAGTTTCTCCACCTTGAATCTCCCAAATGTGTCATTTTTGTTTCCTTTCACCAGCGCCAGCATAGAGTGTAGAACCTTGAGTTTTGCCAAGAGGACTCAAAAAATTCTTTTCTTAAGACACGTTATGAAATTGATATTTCATAAACCTTATCCAGAAATTTCGCCAAAGCAACAAAGAAGCGTTTATCATCCGTCCGCAACATAGTCTGCTACATATTCCCTTGCCTGTGGAGTTTCTCTAGTCAGTCAAACATCTGCATCGAAGAGCTCTCCAATTAATAATGCAGATATTGCAACCACACGGAGGAGGATCAAGTAATTGTCAACGTGGTCAATATTTTGAAAGCCACAGAGGCAATCATGCACAAGGAAACGGTCAATGTTTTAAAAACTGACCCAGATGTCAACCCAATAAGCTGCCCAGAGGGTGGGTTGGATGGTTCAACTGAATGGAACAGTTCAAAACCCAGGTCTTGTTAGCTCTCAGGATCACCAGTTTGACCACCAACACCACCAAGGGCAACAAAACTGAAAACGATGGAAGTGGCGACTCTGTGGCTTGTACTACAATGTTAGAGACAATAATCTCTAAATCCTATATGCTACAAGAAACTAAGGCCCTATTTGGTAGTACTTTTGAAAGTACTTTTTATACTTTTTAAAGTATAAAAGTACAAAGTACATGAACACATTTGTTTGATGTGCTTTTTATTTTTAATAAACACGAAATAAAAGTACAAAAAACATGAAAAGCACAAAATCAACTTTTGATATTTCGTGCTTTTTAGCCCTTTGACATACTTTATACTTTCTAAACGTTTGCACCAACCACACGTGTGATGCTTATACACCCCACCACGTGGTAGCATATATGAATGTCACGTGGAAGCATAAACATATTATTGTATTCAGTAAAACATGGCATGTCATGCATTGACTTACCTTCAAGTACCATGTGGCATCCTTATATGCTGTCACATGGCATCCACCATCCATGTGTCATTGATCTAGCATTCAGATGCCATTTGGCATCCATATATATTGTATGTGGCATATATGGATGCCACATGGCATCTGAACATAATTAATGACAATTGTATGCCATGTGACATTCATCTATGCTGCCATGTGGATATAATATTATTGACTTACATTCAAATGCCATGTGACATCCATATATGTTGCCATGTGACATCTACATGCCAATGACCTCTATATTCAAATGCTACGTGGCATCCATATATAATGTCACGTGTTATTCACATATTATTAACTTACATTCAAATGTCACGTGGCATCTATATATGATGTAATGTGACATGCACACATAAAACGTTTTGTTGTATCCAAACACCATCATTTACTTTTATTTTGAAAAAAAAAAAAGTTTTTGAAAAATTTTCATCCAAACGGTTTTTGAAATAAAAGTATAAAACCAAAAGTATACCACATACTTTGTACTTTCATGCTGTTGAAAGTACAAAATGCGAAGTACAAACAAACAGGGCCTAAAACAATTTTCACAACGTCCATTCAAAACCAAATCCCTTACAGACTGGTGATGTTGAAAAACTTGCAATGAATTTAAACAGAATGATAAAAGTGTAGACAATCGGAAATTTCTAGTTATACAATGATTAGAAGCTAAGCTAAGAAAACAAAATGAAAGGGGTTTTCTAGTTAAGACAATGCCAAGAAATGCTCTGAAAAACCAGATTGGACAATGGACGCTGGGAAGCAGACCCCAATCAGGTTCAAAGACAACAACCAGTTCTGGCAGTTTTATGGTTAAACCAGTTGCATCAGGAAAACCAGAAACAGCACTTTCCCAGTTTGATGTCCAGCCCAGTTCTCAGAACAGTGGTTCCAAGTGACTTTAAGCAATGAATATGGAAGGGTTGACAATAACTGAAAACACCAAGTCACTTCAGTAATGAATCTGAAAATATCAATACCAAGGTTCAAAGTATCAATACTCTTGACCCAAAATATTGACATATTGAGAGTTAAATTCAATTGATACTGTCACTTCTTTTTCACTTTTTTTTATTTGACAGTCAGTTACAACTTATTGTCAAGATAAATATTATTATTTAAATCAATTAAAAATATGCAACTCTCAGTATTTGGTGTATCGGTGACCATGAAAACTGATACGTGTATCATATGATATGCACCGATATGTTGCGATATTTTGAGCCATGATCAATACTAACTGAAAAAAAAAAAGACTGTTTGGAACCATGGTGCTGCTTCCCGTTTTGATTCTACACATAAGTGCATCACTGACTATTTGACTTTAAAGTGAAAAAAACATATTTGGTTGGAAGATTTAACTTAAAATGGAAACACCACGTTTTGCATTGGGTTATTTGCATGGGGGTATTGAGTTTCAAAAAGGTGTTTCTTGTATTTGGGGATATTCCCACACCAGTTGTGCTATGTGCCACCTAATGGTGCCTATGTGTTTAAAACCATAATAAACTATTGTACAGTGTGTTTTGTGTTAAAACATCTCACTTTCTCATTCCCAATTTCATGGTCTAAGTTCAAACATTTTTTTTTTTATCAATAACACTTTCATTAATTCATCAAAGAAGATTTACAAAAGGAAGACAAACACGCTTATCTTACAAGAGCAACAAAGAATCTCAAGAAAAGGAAAAAAGAAAGAGAAAATAAAGAAAACACACTAAAGTTACAGCTTGGCCCAAAAAAGTGAATCCCTTTCTGCCCCTTGTTTAGCTAAACCGTCAGTTAGGGAATTAGCTGATCTTTTAACCCAACGTATCTTAACCTCCATCTCCCGCACCAGCCACTTGAATTTCCTCCTCTCATTATTGTACTTCCATAAGTCATTGTGATCTTTAAGCAGCCACCCTATCACCACCTCTGAATCCCCTTCAATTAAGAGTTTCCTGATGTTCAACTCCTTAGCTTTTTGGACTCCTTCCATAACTACAAAGATCTCAGCTCTAAGGGAGTCACCCACTCCAATTGGGCCTGAGARCATRGYARAAATGACCCCATTTYCATCCCTAAAAACACCCCCAATCCCCGATTGTCCCGGATTTCCCCTGCTACACCCATCAAAGTTTAATTTCACGAATCCACTAGGTGGAGGGGTCCAAGCCACACACATTACTGACTTAGTTTGTGTGCAACCTGCAATTTCACCCCACTTC